AGTTAACCTATAAATAAGAATTGCAAGACCAAAAGTCTTATAAATAATGACCAAGAGTCCTATAAAGAGGACATATTATTTTGCTTAAGGTAGATGAGTTTCTCCACATTCTTTTAGTTTCCTACCTTACTCTATCTTGTAAATAATTTTGGCTAATTTATAGTGTTATTATAAAATCATAACATCTTGAGAGTGACATGTTATCTATATTTTTATTAGAACGATAAATTTATTCTTTAAAGAAGTATAAATCATTTTAAAATAAATAAGGTTTTTTCATCTATTTCAATACTATTTTTTTATTGATATTATTTGATAAATTTACTAAATATTTTTTTATTTAATTTTGTGATTGAAATACAACAATTTTGTGATCAAAGCATAACAATGATATGATGCGAAGATGAAGAAAATTGTTTGAGGAACAATAAAGAGTAGCTTGGATCTACATGTAGAAGTTATGATCAGATAGCTAGGCGAAGTAGACTAAAAGCTGTAAAAACATGGCTGATGAGAGTGCACGACTCGGATAAAATCTGGTTTTTGATGAGGGGCAGGTCTATTGACAACAACCATTGCTTTCTGTATTTGTAGGTTCCCATGAACTGAATTTGTTGCCAAAATCTTCAAAATCATGCCCGTTAACCGTTCTTCAACTGCTCTACTTCGTATCTAATCCTTCCCGATTTGGGGGAACTGCAAAATCTATTTGTTTTTCACATAAAAGTAGGCCACGGACCTAGGAAAACCAATTTTGGTAAAATACTTGGGCTCACATTAAAAAATTCAAGCCTAGCCCAATTTATTGACTTAAAGTCCAAATATGATTTGGACTTTAACTCCAGTAAGCCCAAATCCACGGAAACATCACTACTGCCGTGTGTTGGAATTTCTACTTTTGCTTCCTCCTGTAGGCTCAACCACAATTGATTATGGCCAGTTATTACCTTTTATCTGACCATTGTATGGAAAAAATCATGGCCGTTTGATCATCATCATGGACATGTGGAATCTTCTTAAAAATGACCATTTTTTGGTGTAATCACATGCAAGTTGGCAATTTATCATAACACTTTTGCCTAAAAGAAACCTCTCACTTAAAAGAGGAAAAAAATAAAATAAAATAAAAACAACTAGAGTTGAATGCAAAATATTATCTCTTTTCTTTTTGTGAAAAATTTTCAAATTTAATAAATTTTCACATATAAATCTCACAAATATTTTTTTTTTTTATAATTTTAGGTAATTATAATTCATTTATTCACCCAAAGAACACTATGAATCAATTTGTATCTACTTTCTTGAGTGATACCTATTGTGACTTTGTTATAATAAGAATGCATTTTTATCAGCTTTGATATTATATTTACATTGTAAAATTGTCAAAAGATGCTAAGTGTCATGTGATTCAAATAAGGAGTTGTGATTAAGCAATGTAATATCTTATCTTATTGTGATTTTGGAAGCTAACAAACTGTTAGATAAACACCACGTGTTTAGTCAGATCTAAAGTTTTGAAAATTATCTCCTAATTATTTGATCTAATAAAAAATATAGAATATGGTGACTATGATTTAAGAAGCAATTGTTGGCTAAATTTGGCAAATGGGTAACGTGGAGGCCAATTTTGATGGAAGAAGGGTGGCAAGTTTTGGTGCAATTTGTGACCTAGTTTGTTGCTGATTTGTTCAGTTAGATCATGTAGTTACTGTCACATTTTTTCATTTGAATTGTGGATGGTTACAAGCTATTTTTGAGCATCCATTATCAGCTATAAATATGAAGATTCAACGCATTGTAAAAGGATGATTTGCCCCTCTTAACACAATTTACTTTTAAAATGCTTTATTGAAGCTTTCAATTAACTTCTAGATTATGGGATTAACTCTCAAACTTTTTGCTTTTAAGTCTTAGTTGTTTTATGTGCAATCCATCCCATTGCCTTCATAGGTTCACTTTGTTAGATTTTAGTTCTGTAAGCTTTGTCAATAATACATTATAGATATGTAGCTGTTATCAATTTATGTTTTTGCAAATGTCTCCAATTTCTTATGTTGTTATATTTCTGTAAGTTAATTTTGTTAGTAGTTATTTACTTAGTTTGCCTGTTAATGTTGAGATTTGTAACTCTTTTTAGCCTTAGTAAGTACATGTTTGGTACAACTAGTGGGAAGTGCTTTTGAAGTCCAAAAGCTTCATTGCACCAAACACCCAAACATTTCAAATTAGCTTCAGCTAATGGGAAGCAAACACCAACTTCCAGCTTTTAAATTTATAGGTGATTCGATTGGGAGGAACTAGTGGGAGTCTATGCTCTGCATGCTTGCCTCTGCTATACCAAACAAAAAGTCTATCTATGAGGTAAATGGGAGTCCAATACAAAGCACAAAGGGTTCTTAGTGTTCAGGTTTGAAGATTACAATGGTACAAATGAATACTATAAAGCTCCATATCTAAGTGGTCCGGGGAAGCTCTTCTTGAATAAGAGAGATGATATTTATACTTTGTGTGTCTTTGAACAACTTAATTTTGCACTTGATTTGCTCATGGTTTCCTTCCTAATTGATATGAAAAAAAATATGCTATATGGTATATCTTTTCGTGGCATGAGCATGACCGAAGGATTAATTTTTGTTAGATTGATATGAGGTTGCACTAATTCGTAAATATCAATGTTCATTGTTTTGGATTCTTCTGCATAAACATGACAAAAGCATATCTTTTGTTGTGGGATTAACATGGAGCACCAAGTCAAAAGTTAAAGAATAAAAGCTTTTTAATGGTTAATTCGACATAATTTTTAATTTTATTGTTTTATTTATGTGATTTAAATATATCATATTTTAGTTTTTTAATATTAAAATATAAACATTTACTTAGTGTTTAATTTTAAAATATGAAGAATTAATTTTTAATTATCAATCTTAAAATAGTTAAATAAATTAAAGTTTTATAAAAATATAAAATAAAAAATAAAGTGAGAGTGGTGCTTCACTTAATAAAAATGTCTATTGTAGTCATTTTTAGCATTATATTATATTAAAAGATCTTTAATAAAAGAATTTACTAAATAACTTTTTATTTTAAAATCAATTTTGTAAAAAGTTTTACCAAATATTTTTTATTTTTCATAAACAAAACTTTTATAGCAGATCTTTTAAAAAAAGACTTTCATAAAAAAGTTTCAACCACACCAAATAAACTTTTTGTTTGCATTCAATTCTGTAACTATCTCTTTCTTTTATTGCCTGACTAAAGTAACAAACTTTGTTGTGAACTTAGATGAAATAAATTTTTAAAATTGTTCAAGACAAATTTATAATCCATTTTA